GGCTTGACACAATAAAATATATATATTTTCTCCCACTTACCACTCCAAAGAAAGTGGACCAGAGGGAGAGGTGACTGCTCCATTCAGGGACCAAAGCTCTTTCTACCTGGCAGCTCTGCTCTGGTCCTTGGAGTCCTCTACATTATTTTCTGGTGGTGATAAGAGAAAGGGCTGTGAGTGGATGTTTCTATAGGCCAGCCTTGAAGAGTTACCTAGCCAATCTGCTTACTTTTCATTGGCCAGTCCTCAGATGGATATTCATACCTAACTGCAGTGGAGGTTGGAAATACTGAGTCTAGCTACATACCCAGGAAGAATACAGATAGCATGAGCTCTGTGCCAAGCTTGTGCCAAGTATCTTGTTAGGCCCTTGCATATTAAACACAGTAGATGTTCTTCCTGCTTTCATGGTGTCTAGTGGGAAATAAATATTCAGAAAATTAAAATATAGTTTGGACTAAGTCTAGTGGTTTCTGGAAGTAGGTAAGAGGGTAACTAACCAAGAACTGATGGATCTTAGTGCTTAGCTTATAAACTGGGCACGCAAAAAAATCTTTGGGGGAATAAATGAGAGAAATATCTTAGTTACTAATGCTTACACATATCTCAGAATTTAGTTTCCTCTGCAAGTCACATAACTTAAATCCCATATATTGAAATATTTTATTCTAGAGGTTATTTTAGCTGTTTTTATTTTTAATACATTGAACATCTTTTACAGCAACAATCACAAACAGCTCAAAATAAAATAGAGTACCAAAATTCTAGATTTTATCAAATAGGTAAGATAATGCTAAAACTTCAGGTTAGGAAAAGGAAAAATAATTTTTGATTAAGTTATCACTTTCTATACTGCTTTCCAGCTCTTTTATCTTTTATTTCCTCAAATGAATTGGAATCTCCCTAGCGATACCTCTCTAATGCAATTCTATAGCTACACAGGAAGCATAACTAGCCAATGAATGACTTGGAGGGCAAGGATTTTGGTTGTTCCCAGCAACTATCAGCACAGGAGGCCATGAAGTCCAGTTCCCAAATATCCAGATTTGAGGATCCATTGTCTTGACCTTGATTCTTGAAGCCACACCAGCTAGATTCCTGAACCTATAAGGATTAAATTCAATAAGGCAAGTAAAATACCAGTGCCCTGCCTGGCATGTAATAAATGTGTGTTCATGGTGGATAACATCATTTTTATTATCCATATGAGTCATAAAGAAAGAAAAGGGACTACTTTGACCACTGGCTGATTTCATCTAAGACAACAGAGCCAAATCTCTAAGTCTAATTGTGATTCTCGGATGTGTTAGAATCCCACAAGAAGACACACATTATGCTGTAAGAAAAGGTGCCATATAAAGCAAGCTCAGATAATTTACAAGCTCAACAATCACTATTTGCCACCTGTCTTTTTATTTTCGTTTCAGGTTAAGTGCTGTTTTCTTTCCATGCTAGTATCTGAATAAACACTTAAATTAAAATAAATGAAAGAGAAATTTTCAGGCAGCACCCGTGCCCATGATTAATGCAGTGGTGTGTTCACTGTTTAACATAGGTGGAGACATCTCTGAAAGCCAGGATTGATGGCTGCAAAGAATAGAAGACGCACTTCAACTGTACACATTTCCCGAATGATCAGCTTTGTATGACCTTCATATAAAACCCAAAGGTACTGATTGGCCTTGTGCAGCTGCCTTTCCTCACAATACAAGTGAAAGGTTTTAGATTAGGAAGGAGATGAGGTTAAATTACTTCATTATTTACTCATTGAGGGGGAAATCAATTTCTGGAATATAATCCTATTGACCTGACTGGCACAGACCAGGAGCATAAGTAATCACAACCCTAAAATAAATATCCATTCATACCTTGAAAAGACACCTATAGTAACCAGTCTCCTGTATGCTTTAAGGGTATCAAATAACCATGCAAACCAAACTCAAGGCTAATGGGCCTGTTTTTTGAATAATTCACTAAAATGGGATGGCAAAAATTCTGCTTGTTTTGTTCTGACCTTGTAAAATTCACACATTACATGATCAAGGCTGTGTATTTCCTATCTCCAGGTAATACTAAGATTATTATGTTGCCAGACATCATGAAATGAGGAAACATCAGTGAAACCAAAAAGTAACTCAATTACACCAAGGCTTAGCATGTCCACATTCAATCAGCAACAAATTAAAGTGCAATATAATATGTGTAAGTAAATTTATTCCTAACTCTAGAGCCAGGATCCATAACAACCCAATCCTACTTTCTTTCTCGTAGAAATTTAAAGATACTTTTCCTTCCAGGTTTGTCCTTTAGCAAGGATGTCCTAAGCTTCCATCATGTTGAATTTAGCCTTGCAAGGATTTTTAATTAACAGCGATGATCCACAAGCCATGATTTATATGCAAGAAAGATGCCCTATTTTATCTTCTTTCTCCAGGCTATGATATATGAATGCTTCTAATAAGCCAAAGATAAAAGTGGTTTGGACCAAAAAGCACCTATTTTCTCAAAGATGCACATTAAGATCACAGCTGTCAGCAAGGGAATAAAGTAGAGCCCAGGTAACAGAAAATATAAAGGAAATAGAAAATGATCAAAGTTTAATTTATGTATTCATGATTATATCCTAATTCTGTTCTAGAAATAATTTTTACCCCAAGTGAAACACTATATTTAAAAACTATAATTTGGTGAAAACCTATAATATGAGGTCTTTCTAAATTATGTGATTCTACTTTAAAGAGCAATTTTTAATTCACTCATTCAAGTTTATGCTATTCATGAGGATATACACTTAATACAGTGATTGTGCTATAGCTGAAAATATTCTTTTGACTATCCCTGGTATAGGAAGATCATGTTTTATGAATGGGTTGAGAATCTGTAGTCCTATAGGTCTGCTGTAAATTAGCTGCTTGACCTTGTGCTGTCATTTAATCTCTCTGGATCATGATTCACTTAGATACATAAAGATGTGATTGTGCTGCATAATTGCCAAAGGCCTTTCCAAGTATAAAAGTATACAATTTTGTGCCTTGATATTTGGAAACAGCCAGAAATCAGTGTTGAAACTAGAAAAATAACACTTTACCTGTTTTGAAAGAGAAATTCTCATAAAGCTATTTAGTTATTTAATAAATATTCTTGAGTGCCTACTGATACCGTCTCTAGTGCTGGAAATACCGTCTCTAGTGCTGGAAATATATTAGTGAATAGAATAAACAGCTCTGTCTTTGTGGAACTTAAATTCTAGATGGGCGAGATAGATAATAGACAATGAATGTAAGAGATAAATCAATTATATTGTGCTCTAATATATTACAGGCTAAGTGCACTGGAAAAAGTAAAAGCCAAGTTAGGTGTGAGAATAGGGTGGGGGGCGTTGTAGTGGTTTGGGGAGGGGTTTGAAAGGGTGGGCAGATAGAAGTATTAAATAAAGTGCTCAGAGATGATCTCATTAAGGTGAGGTTTATGCCAAGACTTGACAGAGATGAGGGAGTTAACCAAATGATGTCTTGTGGAAGAACAATTCAAAATGCACAGCTAAAGTAAAGGTCCTAGGATAGGATCACATGTGTTCTATTTGAGAAGGAGCAGAGATGCCAATGCTGCTGGAGTGGACTGAATCTAGACAAGAGGAGGTGAGAGAGAACTCTCCTGTCTCGCCTGCTGCTTCCCTTAGCAGTGTATTTCGGTAGAGCCAATTGTTCTGCTCCCCACTCTGTCTCTGGTGAATCTTCTTACCCCCCACACCTCTGGCCTACATCCCAGTTCTTATATACATAAATAAATAAAAATAAATCTAAAAAAATGTGTGTTGGCTTCCCTCTCATTTGGAAAAAGTACAAGACCTTCCTGACCCACCAGGCCATCACGTGACCAGCCCTGAGAGCTCTCTCATCTCCTGCTCCTTAAACAAAAAAATGTGTACATTGTTTTTTAGACATCCAAATCAGCACTACCCCATAGGACTATTCACAATGATGAAAATATTCTTTATCTGTGTTGTCCAACATCATAGGATCAGTCACGAATAGCCACCGAGAACTTAAAATGTGGCTAATGTGACTGAGGGACTTAGTTTTTAACTGTACTTAATTTTAATTAATTTACATTTAACTGTAAGTAGCCCCATGTGGCTAGTCACTACTACATTGGACAGTTCGGGTACAAATCCTTATTCTATATTATTTCAGATTAACCATGAGGCATTCCTGTTCTATAGTATTTTAGTATCTCCTAGAAATGTCTCTCTTGAATAGTCTTTGATGTTATGCCACAGTCCTTCCCTATGGAAATGTAAAGGGAGAAGTCTCATGGAATCAATCGCTATAGCTGCTGAATTTATACATACAAGAGCTGGGGTACAGGCCAGAGATGCAGGGGGTGAGAGGATTCACCAGAGACAGAGTGGGGTAGAGAACAGGCAGACTGACTGAAATACACTGCTGTGGGGAGCAGCGGGTGAGACAGGAAAGGTCTGCTGTGCCATGTGGGTTGCTCCCTGGCTGGCCGGGGATCAAACTCGTGCTACAGTGGCTGCGGATTGCTTCGTAGTGCGGTGCTTAACCCCTTGCGCCATCAGGGAGGCCCTGAATTGAAGTTGTTGACAGCATTGACAATGGTGTAACATGGCATCCTCTTACTCTGGACTCAATATTAAGAAAAGGTGTGGTTGCTTTAAAAAGCTTGCCTGTGTGGTGTAATTTAGTGTGTTATGTCTGCGTTTGCTGGAAGGGGAACACTGAGCCAAACAGCTAGTTCATCTTCACCAAACACACACTATATAGAAACTCTTGGGCTATGTTCTGTGTGCTTGGTCTAGTTTTAGCCTCTTTGTTATTTTTTTGTCCTATATCTTCTTTGCTGACTTTCTTCCTTATTATAAATGTCACCTAGTGACATTATTTTAATTTTTGTATTCCACAAACAAGCAGAGTAAAAATAAGTTAAAACCCTGTCTCTTTTTGAAAACAATCTCTTTCTTCAAAGTGCTGACTTACCAAGCCTCTTGTTCTTACTCCTTTCGCTTTTCTCTAAATCACTTCCAATTTCTACATGTTTCATGTTAATTATTGGCCCCAAGCTGACACTCAATATATCCTAGAGATAAAAATGAGAACAAAGAGAGAATAAACTTAGATATAATTTGAGTCACATTACAATTTATTCATTTAAATAGTACACTTGCTATGTCACTAAGAAATTTTGATCTAATTTACATTTATAAAGACCTCGAGTTATACTTGGAAGTTAGCATGTCTCTCAGGCTTGAGATCTTGTTTTGTAAAAGGAATCATTTTAGAAAACATGCACAAGTTATTTTAAAAATAAATATTTGTGACATCTTTGAGTCTGTGACTTAGAGATCATTACTTAAAATTAACTATTGCTCGTGTGCCCTAGGTTGAGTTTATCTTATGACTCCTTTTTTAAAAACATATCTTGAGGGCCTCCCCGGTGGCACAGTGGTTGAGCGCTGGGTTGTGAAGCTGCCTGCAGCCTCTGCAGCGCCGGTTCGATCCCCGGCTGCTCCCTGGCCACCAGAGGAGGGTCCCACATGGCGCGCAGACCTCTCCTGCCGCCCGCTGCTCCCCTCAGCAGTGTACTTCGGTCCTTCTGCCTGCTCTGCTCCCCGCTCTGGCTCTGGTGAATTCTCTCACCCTCTCGCGCTTCTGACTGTACCCAGTGCTTGTATAGATAAATAAATAAATAAATCATTAAAAAATAATAATAATAATTATAAAAAAAACATATCTTGAGGTGATGGTGCACGGGTGCATTGATGAAGGAAATTCTATGAGGACTACACCTGACGGGGTGGGGGGAAGCAAATATTGTTTAAAAATGAACAATGATGTAACAATTTTAAAAAAATAAAAAAATAAATTAAAAAAACCAAAACAATAAAAGACTGAGCAACATTTTCTCCCATATTTTAAAAAGAACTTCATATACAGATGGGCCTCCCCGGTGGTGCAGCGGGTTGAGCACAGAGCTGTGGAGCTGTCTGCAGCCTCTGCACCGCGGGTTCGATTCTCGGGTGGCCAGGGAGATTCCCACATGGTGCAGCAGACCTCTCCTGTCGTGCCCACTGCTCCCCTCAGCAGTGCTTTCTGTCTGCCTGTTCTGTTCCCCACTCTGTCTCTGGTGAATCTTCTCACCCTCCTGCACCTCTGGCCTGTACCCCAGCTCTTATAAAAAATAAAATCTTAAAAAAATAAAAAAAACTCTATATACAGAGAGGTCTCAAATTAAAAAAAAAAAACATATCTCTACTTGGCTTTATTTTCACAACAAAACAGCAAACAACTTGATAAAGTACATCAGGTGTTTTTTGTCATTAGAGTGCCTAATGGTTTTGCAAAATTTGGATCAGTTACTTTATTCTTGCACTTTATGAAAATTCCATTTTTCACTTGGAAAAATACCATCATGTGTTATGTTAAATTATGAGTCTGAGTCCAGTGTTGGGCAAAGGGAGAAAAAGTGGTTGTTACTGCAGTAAAATTCTTGCTCTTGTCCCCTCTTAAGGGATCATAGGATAAACCCAAGCCAGTTTGACAATTTGGACAATGTGTTGCCACCTGTCAGTGAATGAAGATAAAGATAATCTTGAGTGGAAGGAGAAAGAAATCAGGTTTTTAATGAACATGAAAACCATAATACCTAATATCATATAGGACAATCACCATATTTGTTTTTTTTTTTTTTTAAGAGACGGGGTCTCGCTATGTTGCCCAGGCTGGAGTGCAGTGGCTATTCACAGGCGCGATCCCACTACTGATCAGCACGGGAGTTTTGACCTGCTCCGTTTCCGACCTGGGCCGGTTCACCCCTCCTTAGGCAACCTGGTGGTCCCCCGCTCCCGGGAGGTCACCATATTGATGCCGAACTTAGTGCGGACACCCGATCGGCATAGCGCACTGCAGCCCAGAACTCCTGGGCTCAAGCGATCCTCCAGCCTCAGCCTCCCGAGTAGCTGGGACTACAGGCGCGCGCCACCACGCCGGGCAATCACCATATTTGGACAGATAACACACACTTGCTGCTGATGGGAAAGGCGATGCTCCGTTCACCACAACCAAAAACCCACTTCACGTATTTACTGAAGAAGAGAAAAGAAAATTTCTTCACGATTGCCTATGCATGTGCTAGAGATAAATTACTACTCAAGTAAATAGCTCAGAAGTTGATTCGTCTAATATCAAGAAATTGGAAACAAATGGTAGTCAAATGGCAATCAAAATTCCTCACACTGGAAAATTATTTGTTTTAAATGAGTTTGGTATTCTTTGCTTTACATTTACATTTATTTATAATGGATCTTTTTGTTATATGATTTCTATAATTTTGGCTAAAAATCATACAACAAAATTGTAGTCCTTTCTTCACATTGCAAGGACAAGATTCAACTGAACAGCTAACTCTTAAATAATTAAAGAGAAAAGTAGGTCAATGCCAAGTATTAAATGACTAGCTCTGAAGATAGCTATATCAGCTATTGTGATTTTAGAGATGCCTCTCAAAGATGTAAAGTTATTGTGCTATCTTTGGAGCTAGTCTTTTGCTTCATTTAAATGTATGGAATTGACCTCAAAGATTATCTTCATATTGAATTAAATATTCACTTGGTTCTGCTTCATCATTTAATACACGACATTTATATTTCAAGACAGAAAATAACTTTTATCGATTTTAAAACTCTAATTACAATAGAGCTCCTAACAATGTGTCCTTGGAACATGGTAATTATCCAGACACTCTTATCAACTGTGAACTATATTACATTTGGACCCACTTAAAAATCATCCACTTGAAGACATTCCCGTTTTATTCTACCCCTTATGAAAGAGAACTAGCATGAACAAGTCAGTCTCCACATGCTCACCTTCCACTCTCACGCATTATTCCCTCTACTCGCAAACGTTCTTAGCAAGGCCACCAGTGACCAAACTACTGAATACCAAGTCCTAAGATCAATTTTCTGTCCCCACCTTCCTTGACCTGTCAGCAACATCTGACACAGTTGGTGATACTTTCCTCCTTTCAACCCTTTCTTCCTGCCTCACTGGCTTGCTCCTTCTCAGTTTCATTTGCTAACCCCTCCTCATCTTCTGACCTCGAATTGATAGTCTCTGACAGTACAGTCTCTGCCCTTCTTTTTTTTTTTTAATGACAATTCTTTTTTTTTTTTTTAAGATTTATTTATTTATTTATAAATGCGCTGGGTACAGTCAGAAGCGCGGGAGGGTGAGAGAATTCACCAGAGCCAGAGCGGGGAGCAGAACGGGCAGAAGGACTGAAGTACACTGCTGAGGGGTGCAGCGGGCGGCAGGAGAGGTCTGCGCGCCATGTGGGACCCTCCTCCGGTGGCCGGGGAGCAGCCGGGGATCGAACCGGCGCTGCAGAGGCTGCAGGCAGCTTCACAACCCATCGCTCAACCGCTGTGCCACCGGGGAGGCCCTCAGTGTTTCCTATTTTAATATACACTAATTCTATTTACCTGTTTGCTCAGCAATTTGGAGAAAATTAACATCCTTAATATGTTATCTTCTGACGCGTGAACCCTGTATCTTTCCATGTATTTGGATCTCTGATTTCTTTCTCATCTTTTTTTTTTGTAGTTTTCAATATACAGATTGTGTATGTGTTTTGTTAGATTTCCTTAATAGCTAATTATAGGGCCATTCAGATTAAACGGTTCTTATTGGGTGAGTTTGGATGTTTTGTTGTTTTCACAAAATTGGTTCATTTTATCAAAGTTGTTCAATTTATGTGCATAGGGTTGTTCATAATATTTTATTATAATTTTCATGTCTGTGTAGTCTTTAGTCCACATGTATTTGTTTCTAATACTGGTAATTTGTGTCTTGTCATTTTTTCTTTATCAAACTTGGTAGGAAATTATTTTATTGACCTTTTCAAAAGCCATTTTTTTGTTTCATTAGTTTTCTCTATTGTTTTTGCTTTCAATTTTATTGATATCTGCACTTATATTATTGTATTCCTCTTGCTTGCTTTGGTTTATCTTTCTCTTCCTATTCTAGTTTCTTACATTTGAGGTTATTCCTTTTTTTCATTTTTTTAAATACATTTTTTACATTTTTCATTTTTGCACAATGTATGCATTTTCATCTTGGTTGCAGTCCCCATACAATTCCCACCCCCCGTATTTTGATCCTACTCCCCCTCCCCCCTTCCCCCCCATAGTGTGTTTCTGGTTTATAGTTGCTTATTGATTTTGATTTTGATTTTAATTAGTCTTTTTCCTGGTCCCTTATTTAGATTTTCTAGATTCCTGCTATGAGTGAGACCATCCGGTATTTTTCTTTTTCTTTCTGGCTTATTTCGCTGAGCATGATCCCTTCCAGCGCCATCCATGTTACTACAAATTGCATTTTATCTTTTTTGATTGCTGAGTAATATTCCATTGTGTTTATGAACCACATCTTCTTGATCCAGTCATCTATTTTTGGGCATTTGGGCTGTTTCCATAGCTTAGCTATTGTAAATAGTGCTGCTATAAACATAGGCGTGCAGGTGCCCTTCGGAATTACTCTTTCTGTGTTCTTTGGGTAAATACCTAGGAGTGGAATTGCTGGATCATATGGAAGCTCCATCTTTAGCAGGCTGAGGAATATCCACACAGCTTTCTATAGTGGTTGGACCAGTTTGCACTCCCACCAGCAGTGCAGGATAGTTCGTTTTTTTTTTTTTTTTTTTACATTTGTTGTAGCTAGTTTTTTTTAATATGTGCTATTCTCACTGGTGTAAGATGGTATCTCATTGTAGTTTTGATTTGCATTTCCCTGATTACAAGTGATGTTGAACAGTTTTTCATACGCCTGCTGGCCATTTGCATTTCCTCTTTGGAGAAGTTAATTTTTAGCTCTTCTGCCCATTTTTGGACTGGATTATTTACTTTGTTTTTGTTGAGTCTCATCAGCTTTTTGTAGATTTTTGTGATCAGTCCTTTATGATTAGTGTTGTGTGCTAAAATTTTCTCCCAATCGGTGGGGTGTCTCTTTTCTTTGGTTACTCTCTCTTTTGCTGTACAGAAGCTCTTTAATTTGATGTCATCCCAGCTGTTTATCTTAGCC